TAAAGTTTGATTAGCTTCGCCAAGAGAAGAGGTCACAAATTATGGATGATTGTACCAGAAAGCAATTCTTGTGAAGTTTTGAAGTCCTTGATTTGGAAAATAAAGACCCGAAGGAGCGGTTATTGCCTGAAAACTTTTCTGGAGGCCCCAATTATGTGGTCTCCACCAACGTCTGTTTTATTGTTGTGCCTATTTTTGTCATACTCTAATATGTAATACTTCAAATATTCTAATACCATGTTCCCAGCATTTATGTGTGACAGGAGACACGACTCATTCTGTGGTGAAAGGTCACAGGCTTTAATTTTTTAACCCAGTGTTCTTATTGAGGTAACTTTTAGTTTAAAGAGATTATCTATATTCGGTAAATATCGAGTCAGAATTACATAGTTTGCTCGTTCGAGATCTTTGAACTGTATTTAGAAGAAACAAGTTCCGGGAAAGGTCAGAATAACAAAGAACTGCAGATAGGGGAATTAGTGGGCTGTTCTTGTGGGCTTTAAAACTTAAGCTCTTTAAAGTTATGTGAAGGCTTACCAATATAACCATATAGTTTAATTGTCAGGAAACTAAGTACAATCTATACAGTCAACATGATATGTAAAGTTAGTGTGGTTTTCACTGCAGGATACATCATATGTATTTGATCACCGTTGTATCTTGCTGATAGCTTCAGGTTTTGATGATTATCGACGTTCTCCACAGGCTTTACAATGTAGGATGACCACCTGACGGTAGCAAGAGTGGAGAGTCACAGCGCGCCATGCTTGTCCAACTTAATTTTCTCACTTAGATTCTGAAACCCCTGCACATGTTTAAATCAAATCAAAGTTAAGTAATCTAAAGGCGACACGATCTGATAAACTAGTTTGGGTCTCCTTTCCTCTTCATGGATTCTAAAAAGATATAAAATCTCATAAATAGGGTCAAACACAAACACAAACCAGGCATGTTTCTTGTCCCCTATATTATTGTTTGTACAGTTGTTTTATAAAGCAAAAAAAAAAAAAATAATAATAATAATAATAATAATAATAAATAACAATATTAAGTAGATGAGAAAATAAACAGACAATTAAAAATAATCTAAGGTTTGGTGATGGTACACCTGGTGTTATACCTGGTACTTGTGCGTGCCAGGCATGTGTTACATGTTGGGCCACGTGGGCCTCGTATTCAATTTTTGAATAAAGTGTGCTACATACAATACAATATTTAAACAAACAAAACTTAATATTTAGAGATATTCAAACATCTCTGTATAAATTATAATAGCAATAATAAGGTAATAAATTATTCATGTAGCAAGTCCTGACCAAGCCATAAACTACACTGTGTTGGCTGTTTTGATGAAGAATGGGGGCCTTATCCTTTTTTAAAATACTTTATTTTTAGGCTTGACATTTTATACCATGTTTAGCAAACTTCAATTTGTGAACATCTTCAGAGAAGGACAGAAAAAGTCTATAAAATTGTATTTTTTTGTTATAGTAATAATCCCACAAAGAAGGGCATCTAGATAAGGGGTGGGCATAATAATCGGTTGGAGGTCCAAAATAAATTTTTGATTTAACACCGAGGGCCGCACTCAAACTTTGATGTTTCCAGTGAGCTTCCAAAAACCTCCAAGCACTGCTTTTACACTACTTTATTTTCAGCTTTAATGTTATTTTTTACATATGATAGGTTCCAGGCTGTAGAAAACAAGGTGTTTTCTAGTCAGTGTTGCTTGGCGGACCGCACACATAGGGTTTTTAATTCATCTCGCCTGCGGGCCGCACTTTGCCCACCTGTGATCTAGATGGCGGAAAGAATGTGAATGACTATAAAAAAGTGTTTTTGTTTGCGCCCTCATTTGAGATCCCATTGCATTGTCGTATTGTGGAGCAGATTTAGTAATTGGCTGATAAATTTTTTATATTTATTTAATCCTGAAAAAATAATTAATGTTTTTACTATGAGATATGGTGGCAGCAGGTAGGGTCAAAATAAAGAATTTTTTTTTTCTCCAAAATTTCCAATGTTTTTTTGGCCAAAATGAATAACGAGTTTTATCAGATAAGTACCAATAATTTCAGATATTATTATATCCGTTGTCACCACAGAGAGATGATACATGTGTATATTAATGAGTTGAGATACCGCTCATATTGTCAGTGTCACCACACAGTCATGAAGTAGAACAAAAAAAGCATACCTTTTCTCCCATTTTATCAAAGGTGCTATATAGTAGTTTGTATCTTTTAATTGAAATAAAATTTTTATATTTTTCTTTATAAATAATTATTTAGGACAATGTGTTCAGCTGTACCTGTTGCATTATCATTCTCTTCTGACTAATCTTAATCTAACATTGATTAATTACCAACTGCCTTTGTGTAGGTTAGAACTTATTATTATGTATGGGTGGTGCAACGGTAAGGCTTTTGGCACTCACAACCATGTTTATTGATGGTCTTAATTTAAAGCTAAACATTTGCCTCTGTCTTTTGCTAAACAAGGTATAAAAAAGTCTTGCCTTATAGTTACTAACTTATTCCAACAATATTTTCAATTTGTTAATTTAAGCATCACATTTGTCACATTTGTAACATTTGTCACATTTGTAACATTTGTAACATTTGTAGCATTACTTTCTTCTCTTGACTAAATTTATTAGGTGTACAGCCACAAAAAAAAAAAAAGAAAGAAAGAAAGGAAAACCAGTAAAATTAATTAATAAAAATTATAAAAGTTTTCTAGGAAATTCTTAAATTTAATTTTTTAAATATAAAAATATAAATAAATAAATAAATATAATAAATATATATATATATTTTTTTTTTCATATTTTTTGTGGCTGTATATATTTAATTCTTATTTGTTTATAAAAACCAGACTACTTAAAACTTAATTTTTAATTTTGCATATTATTTATTTTTTTTTAAATTTATTTTTGTCATCGTACTAATAATGATTTATTAATTATTTTTAATGGTGGTCATATCTTAAAATTTGTTTTCAAACTTATTTTGGCCACCATCCACATACTTTTTTTTACAGTACTTCTAATTTATGTGTATGTGGAGAAATATTAATAAACAAACAAAACAAAACTTATTTAATGTTTAAAGTGAGCCTCAATATTTTAATTAAAATTTTGATGGGATTTTTACCCTCATATTTCAAGACAGATAGTATATCTTATAGTCTGACATACAAAATCTGATAGTATATGACAGACGTTGGTAGCATTGAGTGTTACAATGAATCACGGTTAAGGATCATAATTTATTTGATACTCATAACACGAGGGCAACTACCCCCCAGACCTTTACTTTCCTCTGGATTTATGTTTCTGAAATCAATATAGCTTAACATACAACGTTACATGTTTGCATGCAGTGTACATAATTTGTTGATTTGAAGTGTTCGCAGCAAAAGCACAATTGGCGTCGTCTCGTAAAGATTTCAAATATGAGTGTCCCTTGCGATGTATGGCTTCTGTTTAGTGGAAGGAAGTAATTGGAAATGATGTTACAACTGGGAGGCCCCTTCCCCATACTGGTGTGGACTGGCGAGTGATTCTATTTCCTTGTCTGGGGAAAAACTGGCAAGTGTGTTGGGGATATTTGCACATGACAGGCCCAATAGCTTTGGCATTTGACATTAGCAATCAACCTTAGTGAAAGGTTGGATCAGCCAGTTTATGCCTAGTGTTAGTTTTTAGAGTATCATTTTGTTTTGCATGGATGTGGTTATAGGCTATGGTATGATGACAGATGACTTCAAACCTTCTGTTGATGTGTGTGGAAGATTTCAGAGATTAGATAAAATTTTGAATATACGAGATCAATTAAAGTATATTAATGGATTAGTGTCTCCTGGGTGCAACTGCCCAAGGCCTGTTTACATATCACTTTTTGTATTGCTATCATTATCATTTTAGAAGAAAATAATTCCCAGGAAATAGAGGAATGTTGTATCTTATATATCTAATTTTTCCGGTAGTACAAAATTTATGGTTGCTTTTGTATTGTTTTAATTTAGACCATCTTCTTGTTCATCAGGATTCCTGTAATTAAATAGTTTAGGTCATACGTGCTTAAGTATTCATTCAACATATATATTGAATAGCTCATTCAAAAGTATCGAATAAGTTAACAACTTTCAACGAGATACAGATTGAAACCATTCAATTTCAGGAGTGTTTCAATGTGTGTTTCATTAAAAGTTATTAACTTATTCAATCTTTTAAATGAGCCATTAAGTGTTTTAATTGGAAACATGAATGATGCATTTGAATGAGATTTTACTATGTTACCAATTTCATCATTCAATATAACATGTATCGATTTCCTATTAAAGAAGTTCAGAAAAAAAAAGAAAAATGAATTTTTTATGGTATATTTGATTACATTGTAGTTTGGATTTTTATATATTGAATATATATATATATTTATATATATCGTTTTGACAGAGGGTTTCATTTTCGTCCTCAGGCTTACATCTCAAAAGATTGTTGAATAAATTGCAATTTTATTTTTATATACTGTATATTTTTAATATTTTTATTTGGTTTTTATCAACTGTTAGTTAAGTCCATTTTATATAACTTTTTAATATTTATGTATTTTAACAAATTTCATGTATTTTTTATGTAATTGATCAATAAATCTTTAATCTAAATCTTTACTTCCTCTGCCACACTATTAAACCGAAAAGTAATAGGTCCACTGATAACTGTTTTTAATACTTAGTTATCTATGTCAACCAAAGTATTTTCGTTTTTTTGCTGAAGTATAAAGGGATAGGATTTATGATACGATACAGATTATGGATAAAACTTACCAGTATTAAACAAATACTAGCCTAATTAATTGATTTTTTAAATTATACATTGAACACACATTGAATTTGACAGTTGGTCTTTAAAAATATATTTTACTTTTTTTTATTTAGATTTATGTATGTATTTAATTTTGAAGAGGCACATGTAATTTCATGAACTGATGGCAATAAATTCCATCTTTGTCAATTTTCTATTTAGATGGTCATTTTCAAGATAGTTTTCAACCTGCGAGAAAGTGCGGTTGCCATCACTGACAAACGTGTTAGTAAGATGGACGAGATAATAACCAATATAAAACTCATCAAAATGTATGCATGGGAGATACCGTTTTTGAAGACAATCTCAGGTATGGGATTTCAATGGTATTTGCATTTTCAATTTGTTAACAATATATCAAAAAAACTTTAGTAGGATTTAGTTAGTTTTATTTTTATACCTTTTAAATTTTTTTACTTAGAATCGCTGATATGTGCATATTTTGCTTTAATGTTTCTAAATTGTATATAAAATTGTAAATATATCTACAGTAGAACCTCGATTTTACGTACGGGACCGGAAGGCGTACGTAAATCGGGGGATTCGTAAAATAGAGGTTGGGTTAAATTTGTGGTAACCTTTGACCTAATACATACGTAACGCTCAATAAACATACGAACGAAGGATGTTACCTAAGCTAGACCTACCCTCTAGGCCTACAAATAAAACTATATGTGTTTAGTGTTTTTATTCATCACTTTACGATGTCATAATAAAGTGTTCAAATAAAACCATGTCTAGTGTATTAATTCATCACTTTATATCTTTTATTTAACTAAAATAAAGAAAATGAAAATATTGTAAGATAAGCTATACGACAAAGGTATAACTTGGGAATTCCCCTTCATTCCTATTCTAAACAACAGAGCTGTGGTGTTGTCTGGGCCTGTTGAGACAAACGAAAACCATGTGTGCTGCACTGGGCGAGCCAACCAATTAGCGTTCGTGTACGTGAAACAGCAACCATGTGCTATGCACTGGGCGAGCCAACCAATTAGCATTCGTGTACGAAACTATGTCTACCCAGCTTCGTGTAGAAAATTCGACCAGATGAGTTCTTCCATGGTTTGCCACACGAAGTTAAGAAGGAAATAAATTATTTTGAGCACCATCGGTAGTTGCTCATCTCACTCAGTTCACATGGTTTTAAATTATAACAACCCGGTATTAGGCTCAATCAGCGTTGCAGTTTAATGAAAATACGTTGCATTATGGTTTGTGTATGGTTATAGTTTATTGTAATAGTCTTTTTACTTATGGTTGTTCTGAAAAGGGCCGTTTGTTTTGAATATTTTTGGGGTTTTTGATGACGTCATCGTCGATACGAGGCGTACGTAAAACCGAGGGTTCGTATATCTGGGGTACGTAAAAACGAGGTTCTAATGTAATTCTATTCTCTCTTAGGCCTAATCCCTTTTTTGCTTTATTTTTTAACTTTTCAAAATTTTTTTACTTTGTTTTATTTCATGAAATTTTTTATTTATTTTGCGTTTCATGTCCTTTTTTGTGATGTTATTGTACTGTGTTTTCTTGGTCTATTGTTCAACATCAATTTTATATAATAAAATTGCAATAAAGCTTCTCGTATTATAGTAAATATTTCTAGTTTTTATTGTTACATTATTAACTGTCGTGTCTTGTATGTAGCTAATATCAAGTAGGCATATCATGCTTCTCCAAAGACGTATTATTAATAAAGTGGATATTATATTATTAAGAGTAGTGAGCTAGCGTTTCAAGGCCCCAGGTTTCATTAGCAATGGCCCAGGGCCACTAGGTGACCCTTCTTCACATCTTGCCGTTCCTACAATCATGTTAATACATCTTAGCAGAACGACATTGACAGCATGATGAATATGCAATGGATACTACGTCCCTTATGGCTTCTCGTTCATCTAACAAGTCAAACTCGCTGATGTTCAGTAACAGTGATACTGAAAAAAAGTTACCAAGTCCTTCGGGGAGTTGTTTATAACCTGTCATCTGGGCTTTCCCCATGGCCTTGAAATTTTTTCGATTGCAATGGAAGCGTTGCTATTGATGTTACAAATAAAAAATTATTATTTAATATAAATAGCTTTCTCTTTGGGGTATTATACTAACATTTACATAAACAAATGTCAGATTTTGTTTCTTTTTTTAATGATGTCCTCGTGGGATTGTTTATAATTACTTATAAGCTGGGCTTCACTATGGCCTTGAAATATGATTTGAACAGAACTCTTTAATATAAATACCTCTCATTGAGGTATAAAATATCAATATTTACATAAACAAATGCAAGAGTTGTAATTGCTCTTTAATGAAATCAAGATTTATATTTCTATGATATTAAAAATGAAATGTTTCTTTTATGTAACCAGATTATATATTTGATTGCCATTAATCTTGTTTTTCTATAAAAATATTTAAATTGATTAAATATATACTGGTAGGAACAATTTATTCTTGTGTCTGGTTAATGGAAAATGTTTCTCTTTGTAAGTTTTAATCGCAGTTAATGATTTTAGATCAAGTAATATAGATATTTATAATTACAGTATGTAGTTTAAATGTGTCTGTTGTTATCCATTATATTTTTTTAAGAAATAATTTTGTATGGTGATTAATTGTTTCTAGAGGTACGTTCGAATGAGAAGAGCTTTCTGGAGAAGGCAGCGATTGTCCAGAGTCTAAACCTGTCCCTATCCCCTTTGGTTCCAATCATAGCAACAGTAGTCACAATACTGGTACACACCTTATTAGGTGATAGCCTCACTGCTGCACAGGTGAGTTCTTATTTATACTTTGTTTTTTTTCCATTAGGCCTACTATTCCAAAAAATGTTGGATTGTAATCAAAAAGTGTCAAAAAGTTTGAAGTAGCATATAACCTAAAACTATGCTCAATCTTGAGTTGTTGTGCTGTTGATTTTAGTTTATATATATATATATATATATATATATACACATGTAATCAAAGCATTATTCTTTTCTTATTGTTTTCATATAGTTACATACACATGTAATCAAAGCATTATTGTTTAATTATTGTTTTCATATAGTTATATACACATAATAATAATAATAATAATAAAGATTTATAAAGCGCACATCTCCACCAAAGGTGCTCAAGGCATATAGACAATTAAACCAACAAGATCCAAATAATTCCCAGAAGAATTTTCAGCAAAATCCAAATACCAATTATTCCATCGAGGCAATGTTGCTCCCCATATAAGTATACGCAGATACACATGTAATCAAAGCATTATTGTTTAATTATTGTGTTCATATAGTTATATACACATGTAACCAAAGCATTATTATTTAATTATTGCTTTCATATAGTTATACACGTGTAATAAAAGCATTATTGTTTAATTATTGTTTTCATATAGTTATATGCACATGTAATCAAAGCATTGTTGTTTAAATATTGTTTTTATATAGTTATGTACACATGTAATCAAAGCAGTATTGTTTAATTATTGTTTTTATATAGTTATATACACATGTAACCAAAGCATTATTGTTTAATATTTATTTTTTTTTAAATGGCTGTCTTTTCTTAAAATTCTTTACCTCAACATCATAAGATCTCATTCTTTTGTTATTTTTTTAAAAACTAGAATTACCTAGTGCATTTCATTTTTACTTTGGTAGTGATATTGGCACTCGATAAATATTAGCTTTCATATCTTGTGTAAATGTCAGAAGTTTCTGAATTTAAATATATGGCATTACAGGTTTATGTAATAGTTCATACTCCTCCATCTTTCTCTTCCATTGTACAAATGTATGTAAAAAACCTTTTTAGTCAATTTTCTGATAACAAATTTAAAAATTAGTATTCCCAATGAATATAACAGCCCGAATGTCACATTTCATGTTGAATAAAAAATATAAAAATACAGAGCATCATAAATAGATGAATACTTGTTAGCCCCTAGTGAAGAAACCATTAAGACTGCATAGTTCACTGAGCAGTTAACACTCACTCGCTGTACTTTCGTCCTTAAGGGATTTAAAGAATCAGGAGCGATCATCGTGACAAGGGTCCTTCCATGTAAACAGTATACTTAAGACTTTCTTGAATTAACAATCCCATTTAAGCAAGCACTATCCTAACCATATCCTGAACTAGTGAACCCCGATCATGCATAGCCTACTGGTGTTGATCACGCATTATGACAATTAACTCGACTGCAGTGATATTAGGCCCTACAGGTTAACTCATAACAAGTTGAATTTTCTCCTCTGGCTTCACAAATATCTCTACACTGAATTTCAATCGATTGATTATAGTGAATAATCTTAATAAATATTGGGAATTACTACACAAACTGAATATTAATTACCATGATAACAAGTGTAATGTACACTTATAGGTGAAGATGTGTGCTTGTTTCAGAAGAGGTATTTTGATTTGTTTCATTTCAAACTTCATTTATACAAATGAATATCATGCACTTTATATACACTCCCCATTGCAGAGGGTTCACAAACACAAGTCTAGTGAAGGGTGTTCTGGCTTGTGAAGGTAGGCCCATACCTAAGGTGGTTTCTGTGGTGTTTGCACTAACCTCCTTTTTGTCTTTTTGTGTAAATATCTCCTACCCCTCTAAAAAAACTGAACCCCCTTCTTTCCATTCATGAAAGTAATGGTTAAATTGTTTGATTCCTCAGGATTTTCCTCTAAACCCCACTGGAGCAATTTCATTGGGCACCACCTTGGAATGGAATGAGAGTTGTTTTTGTCAGAGAAATACTGTACTTGCATTTGCAAGGATTGAATTGGTGAACTTTTCTTAATTTAGAAGAACATCATAACTGCCACTAATCTGCAACTCATACATTAACCACATGTTGTCCATCATCTTAATGTTCTAAGCTTTAATATCTAATCATCACCTTTCTTAGAAATGTTCCTGCGCTATGATCCGACTCTCTTAATTTAACTCTCAGTGTTTGTTAAATACAAACTTAAGGAAGTCACACGTCTACAAGATTACTGAAAAAATTTTGATTGAAACCATAACTTTTCACCATTTTTTCTCTTTACCAATACTGTAGGCGTTTACGTATGTTGCTTGCCTGAACTCAATGAGGGTGACCCTGATGTCGACGCCCTACGCTATCAAAGGAATAGGAGAGGCATCTATTGCAGCAAAAAGAATTAGAGTAAGAAGAATAACAAATAATAATACAGTATTGAAAGAACTGGTTAACGATTATTGATACTTTTTTTTTCTATAAAATAAATTACCATCTCCTTTACTCTATTAAAATTAAGATTTACCTTAGCAACAGTTTCAGCAACTGCTACGGCCACTTTCTTTCATCACTATATTTTTTTGCTACTATGTTATGGATCCGGATGAAACTCTTTGAGAAAGTTTGAAATTAGATTTCTATTAACAATTTAAACTATTAATAATGAATGTACACACATAGAACATTTCTACAGTTTTTACATAGAATTGAAAATCAACATATTTTAAATTCAAAAGTAATACTTAAGAGAAAACTGAACTATCTCATTGAAATCAAGAAATATATTTAATCCTTTAGATGAGAAAGTGAATATTTGAATTGATTTTTTTCTTCTTTTTTATTATTATTTTACCACAGACACTATATCATAAGTGTTACAATAACAGAATTAGTCAATAATTATATCAAAATATTCTAATAAAAAATTCTAATACAATAAGTAAGATATGAAACGCTGGAAGTATTTTGATTTTGACAGGCCATTAGATATTATCTATAATGAGAGAAGAATCTGCCAATATCGCTGACATGTGCATCAAATTTGAAGACTTTACACTGTTGAATTATCTACATTATGCTGTACTATGTTTCTTTCAGTAAATTAGAATTTCCTAAAATTGTATGGCCATATGGCCTGAGAAATTGAACGAGCATCATAATTTAATATGCACTTATGATGCGCATTGAGCATGGACTTACGGTTAAGATATTGATACGTGCTGTACTACCGTGCTGCTGCACATTATCACGACTGCACATGCACACGGACATGTCTCCATAGACACGTACTCTTCTAATTACTACAAGCTAACGAGCGTAATAAAAAACGCTTGATATGACGTTTGATTGATTAATAGAAGTGTAATTGCCGTGAAAAATACCGATTTGGAAGCTTTTTCCGAAATGTAAATCTTAAGTTGTTATCAAATCAAATGGTATTCAATTTCAGCAATTAAAGAATATTTAAGAATGTTGTTACACTGTGTTTCAATACTACTTTGACCCTTAGTTGACTAATTTTTTTTTTTTAACTTGATCATATTGTTTTATCTTTATTATTGTCTCGCAGGAAATTTTATTGTTAGAAGATATTCAAGAAGAATTTAAGAAGCCTGAAAATAACAACATCGCAATTGCAATATCAAAAGCAACATTTTGTTGGAACAAGAACACATTTCCATTTGAAAGCAGTAAAGTTAAAGAGGAATTAGTAGGCAAGAAGAAAACAAAGAAAAAATCAAAATTAGTCGACCGGGAGATGGACGATTTAAAGAATGGTGATCATTTTACAAATGGAGACGGTCTGATGATTAAGGAGATTTCAAAAGATACAATTGCTAATCATGGCAGTCAGTGTGAACCATTTATAAAATGTGGTTCAAAAGACAACTTAACAGAAACATTATTTGATATAAATCTTGAAATAGAAAAAGTAAGTTGTTTGTAAAACTATATTTCTTGTAAAATACAGAAAAGTATAGTTTTTGTTTTCATTAAAATAATTAATAAAATAAAACAATTAAAAAATAACATTCTTATCAGTATTATATAATATGCAAATTAATTTATATTTGGTGGGTAGGACTGCATTAATTTCTGCTCATTAATATTCATTTTGAAACTATTGACTAAAAATTGCATTTATTTAGATTATATATGTTCAGTAAAAATGTAAAAAACTAACCTAAACTGGTGCTCCCTTTTTACATCATAATCTTAAATAATTAAAATACATCTTTTATGTCCTGTCTTAATAATATCCCTGTTAAGTGTACTTCTAATCATCTTCCACAGGGTTGTCTTCTAGGTGTCTGTGGTAGTGTAGGAACAGGTAAAAGTTCATTATTGTCTGCCATTTTGAACCACATGGTACGCACCAAAGGCAGTATTGCTACAGACGGTTCTTTTGCATATGCTGCACAACAATCCTGGATTATCAATGCAACAGTCCGTGAGAACATCCTTTTCGGAGAACCTTTTAACGAAGAACGCTACAAGAGAGCACTTTTTGCCTGCTGCCTTTTGGAAGATCTCAAGTCCTTGTCAAATGGAGATGAAACAATTGTAATTTTTGAATAATAGCATTTTTTAAAATTTATTTAATATTTATAAGAAAATCAGATATCCTGTTTACATTACATGTACATGCCATATGCAATTAATATAAGTCCTCACTTGGAAATGTCTTGGATTTTCTTTTTTAATTTTGATACGGTACTAATGAAGGTTCAACCTAAAACATGTAAACTATAAAATCTTTTGTTATATTTCTTATCTGCTTGGTGTTTTTGATAAAGTGCATCATTTTGGCTCTATCATCAAAGATTTCAGCTTCAGTAATTTGCTAGAAGATCTAACCACACAAATGAAAATTAATTGGAAAAAATATGGAAACATAAAACTTAAATAATATAGTTTTCTGATAGTCACAGTTAGTTTTCAATACATAATTTAAAAAAAAACAAAACAAAACAAAAATCGAAACAATATCTACATCTGTAAAACTATAGCCTGTACTTTACAGACTAGCAAACTGTAATTGAAAAAACCATGGACTTTGTTCACACAGTGAACTTCTAGGGACCATAATAATGAATACACACTTTCCAACATACTTAGTAGTGAACTTGTCAGCTAAAACATTCCAGTGCGTATATTTTTAGCTAATGATAATAAATAATAATAAATAACTTAACCAATACCCTCATGTGTTGCATACTATATCTACAATTGTGGTAGCCTTAGCCCTTTCGATCCAGTATCCTTCTTTACCTTTGATAACAGAGGAAATTTGGGATGAACTAATATGCCCTGCCAACCTTTTTTTTATACATTTAATGACATTCATAAATAAATATAAGTACATATACTTGATTTACAAGTTAGTTTTAAAGTATTATTACCAAGATGTAAACTTTAAACAATAGAACTTTTAAACTTTATGCCTTACTGTAAAATGTTTATGAACCTAATTTAGTCATAAATCACTCAACAATTCAAGCACATTAAGTGGTAAAGTAGCATTTTTGTTGCATTCCAATCTTAGGCTCCTAGGTTCAAATCCTGACATTTCTTATGACTGAAAAATAAAGCAACCACACATCCTAAGCCTTAGAGACTAAAAGCATCATTACATCCTGTAATAATTGATAAGGATGTGTAAGATAAAATAATAAAATAACAATATATTAAATTTTATTTAACACAATATTACTTTATTGTCCATTTCACAGCATTGTACAATTGAAAGTTGACTCAACTAAAATTTTAACCAGTGCATGATAAAAAGCTTCAGTCTACCTTTAAACCTGTATTCAATATCTTTTATTTTGGCAACTAAATTTTTTTAGTAGGTCTATAATATTTTTAGCAATATTTGTTTGCTTTTTTTTTCTAAATTTGCTTACCATTAACTCTAAAAAATTACAATACAGTACTGTTCAACGCGATGAGTAGGTCTCCCACTAGCGATGAGAGTTGAACTGGGGCTACCACCTGTTTGGCCAACAGAGCTAAGCTGCTATCACTTACAAACTGACAAAATTTGGTTGAAATAAATGTATGTGGCATGTTGTACAGATTTATAATAAAAATTAAAAGGAATATTAGAAAGATGGTTATAAAATTGAAGTAAGTAAAAGGTTAAAGTTATAAATTGCTAGTATAGAAATATGTAGCTTAAAATTTTGTTCATTTTTTAAAGATTTTTCATTTTTACGACCCAAGTAATGCCAAATAAAAATGTGTAATTTTTCCTTTAAACAGATTGGCGAACGAGGTATGAACCTGAGTGGTGGGCAGAAGCAACGGGTGAGCCTAGCGAGGGCACTGTATGCAGATCATGATATCTACTTATTGGATGATCCGTTAAGTTCAGTGGATGTTCATGTTGGTCAACACCTCTTTACTCACCTAATCCTCCAAGAACTAAAAAACAAAACTGTCATATTTGTCACTCACCAGTTACAGGTAAGTTTTAAAAATGTTGAACCATTCTTGTAAACTACGGTATGGTATGTACACGCAAAATAGAATGGCTGACATTTCTTTTTATTGTTATATTCTGAAATGTTTGGTTTTATAACCCCAAATATATTGGTTTCCAAAGCATTTTGTATATAAAAATGTTTTGCTACAAAAATACTTTGCAGACAAAGAACAAAAAATAAATTTTATAATCCAATGTTCACATTTGTGTGTACTACTTTAAAGCAATTGTGACACACCGGCTTGACAAATTTTTTGATGAACATAATATTAAAGAACAAATAACAAGTCTCTCTGCATTAACCTTTATTTGATAAACCCGACAATAAACTAGGACATTATGTTCTGTGGCCTAATACTTACAGTGTATTCTGATTGGTCATATATTTTTGCTTGATTGACACTTTAAAAAGGTCCATAGCTTAATGCTGGACCTACTTTTTTGATCTTTTAAGTAAGATTGCTTTATCCTGCTAATGCTTTTAATAAACTAAGCATGTGTTCCCATGTGTACTTTATTTTTTGCAATTTATTTCTAACCGACCAACAGGAATGAAGTTCCCAATTACAGGTGTTGCGATACATAGAAATACTTCATTTAACCTACAAAATTAATTACAGTACTAAAATATTTTTAAAAAGTGACAATTATATTATATTCCGGGTAACGTTGGAAAACAAATTTACAAACACATGTACGAAAAATCTTTAAAAGAAACACTCCCAAAGAATGAACAATCAAGAATGAGCAGAATAATATAAAAGTCACATTTTTGGGAACATGTAAATTCAATGTGACAAACTCAAACCCTCACAAGATAAATGTACAAACAACACAGAAGAAAAATTATTCCATTTTTTGAAGATTCACACTACAAAATTGAAAAGGAAATAAATCAGTGATAATGGCGACTTGGAACTTAAAAATGAAAAGAAAAGTAAGAATACAAATCTTAACAAGATGAAAGTTTGACTGATGATGGGCACAAACATCCATTGAAATATTCACCGAATATTCACAGTGTCTGACATTAAATTGATTGCGAAAAAGGATTGTTGAATATAGGCCAAGTTATTTTGAAAATATTATTCCATTTTTTGAAGATTCACACTACAAAATTGAAAAGGAAATAAATCAGTGATAATGGCGACTTGGAACTTAAAAATGAAAAGAAAAGTAAGAATACAAATCTTAACAAGGTGAAAGTTTGACTGATGATGGGCACAAACATCCATTGAAATATTCACCGAATATTCACAGTGTCTGACATTAAATTTATTGCGAAAAAGAATTGTTGAATATAGGCCAAGTTATTTTGAAAATACAATTAAGTTATGTATTCAGCAACTCCACTCATGCATGTTTACATAATAATAATAATAATAATAATAATAATAATAATAATAATAATAATAATAATAATAAATTGTAACATTTGTATTGTACTCTGGGGCAGATGCAAGGGGATGCAGGGGGTGCAGGTGCAGGGGTGTGCAGATGCAGGGGTGTGCAGACATTGCAATTGCACCCTCTAAATTGTATGAAGAAAAATAACTGTTGTATTGTATTGTTGATATGAATTGCCGGTAAGATTTCTGAGGTACGAAAGAGGTCCATATTCTCAAAATTTTCTCTCACACCCTTAGTGCAAAATCCTGCATCTGCCCCAGTTACAGTACTTGTTAAGACAGTTTTTGACATTGGCACTTATGTAATTAACCTTATTTCTGACTGCAAAGAACTAGAGAGTACACTTGCGATTATGCATGGTCAAGCACTCTCTGGTGGAAGGCGGAAATTAGTATAGGCAAGACTTAAGTATTTACTTATCTGTGTCAAGTAGTACTGTCAATGAGTGTTTGTCCCATTATGGTGCCATATAGGTCAGGAAACAGTATTTTTAAAACTAAGTTCAGTTGATTTATTTAACATGAGCTTTTGATGCCAGGTATCAGACACCCTTCATCATAAAGTTTGGGCCTAAATATGGAAAAATATGTTTGAATTGTACTTCCATATTTTGAGGACTTCTCCACAGTGGCTTGTAATTGCGATACATATATTTGGTTCGGTAGATCAGGTAATGTAATAAATTATCACTCAAGTCAGCGAGATATGTAGCAAACTCAATCTTTAGTCTTGGTATACATAAAAATAATGTAAAAAATTTAAAAGAGTAAATGTGTACAGTATGATCCTTGTTGAAGATCAACACAGGAATGTTGCATTACTTCACTGGAGGTGCACGTCGGCCGCAGTGGGGTGCCTGTGCTCAGTACACATAGACATCTTATTCTTTGAGTAGTGATTTGTTTTTCGCACACATATGTTATTATATAGCATAGAAGAACCAACAGCTCAACTTTCCAATCAAAGAGCAAGGTGATTAGCACAAAGTGTCGTTCACAAAGTAGAGTGGCATTTGCAAGCCTTAAACTCGATCTTTTTTGCATCAAAATCCAATACCTTAGGCATACATCTTGTCAGTGGAAACTAATCTCTGATTTTTGGACAGTAAAATTATTTTGTATCTTGGCTAACTTGCTCACTCACTCCAAGAATCCATGTTTTGAAAACGTGTACTGTTCTTCCTTTGGTGTTCCAAAAAATCATTTTCAAAACACCCAATTGGTTTTGTGCCATGCCAAAAATGTTTTTTGTGATGCAGGTTTTAGCAGCAACACAAATAGTGGTATCAATTTGTCTTAATCGGTCTCAAGTTTCAGACTGAATTTTGGGTAATAACGATGTAACTGTTTCTTTTTTGAGTCACAATTTAGTTGTCACATATTTTGTTTGAAAAATTTATACTGGGGGAAAAAAAAGATTCTCTTATTTTTTAGTACATAAGTCTCTATCAATCTTTGCTTATTCTAGTACAGTTAACAGATTTTTTTTAAAAGGTGAGAATGTCTTGTATTCAACATGAAAAAAATCCAACAAATGTCACACACTTTGTTAAAAGTCTTTAACAGAATCTTTGCTGAAACTAACCACATATCCTGATGCAGTAGGAACATCTGCCGAATATTAGGAGGTGTTGGCAGATTTGTTTAGCAGCCTATACTGGCCTGAGCCTATCCACCGCCCTCAGGGACCAGCATAAACCTACTTTTCACCTTCATATTTCACCTTCTGTAACCATAAACAGGTAGCACATGGACCCCTTCATCACCCTTTGCAAATCTGTCAACTGCAGCTAAGCTATGTGATGTAAACAGCATTTTTAGCACTTCCCACTGCAAATGTGTACTTTCATCACAGTGGCCCAAGGGTTTTGGTGAGAGTTGCACCTCAATCAATATCTTACATAGCTGTCGCTACCCACAATATGTCTGGGTGTATGTGAAATCTAATTTAATTAGTATGAAAGTTAAAATATCAAAAAAATATAGAAAGGTAGACCTACCTGTAAACAACATAGAGGCTGAACAAATTAAATTGTGATTGGTGATATCCTCTGTCAACAACCATACTGTAAATATATAATAATTTACTTCTTACTTCATATAATATAATATATAATATGTATTATATAATATATATTGAATGTATAATTAAACATATATATATAAATATATTAAATATATTAAAGTAAATAATATATAAATATATATTTTATTATATTAAATATAAATATATTGAGTATAAAATATAATTTGTCTTTTGCACTAACCTCTGTATTAATATTTATTACTTGTATAAGCATCAGGAAAAAGAATTTTACTTGTGAATTTTTCAATAAGTGATAATAAAAGTATCTTGTATCTTTAAAGAATTAAATGTGTTCAGACAAATCTCAATTTTTTGATTTATCAGTGCAGTTTTTAATGTGGTGTAGCAAGCTTCACTCCCTTGACACTTAACTGTGACCTTTGGTAACATTAGATTAATAAGTATTTTGCAAAATTTTTTTAGCTTTAGTTTTTAATATTTTGCTACTTCTCATTCAAATATGCCAGAACAGAAAGCTAGACTATATATTTGTATATGAGACACAAAATTTAAGCTTAAGCCACAGCATGTTGTAAGTCAGGGTTTATTGTCCATCTAAGTCTCCTGCATCTCTACTGTCCCTTAAAGTCTCTTTCTGTTTATTTAATTCTCTAGTGCAGATGTGCTTTCTCAAGCATCATGTACATGTGTACTGCCCCTTTAAGTCCTTTGTATTGAGGTTTTTTTTTTTATAGGTATATTGTTCCTTTAAGTCTGTTGCATAGGTAGACTGACTCTTTTAATTTTCCTGTACAGGTGTACTTTCCTTCTAAAATTTTCTTTACCTTTAAGTGTTTACTGTAAGTTTCTTATACGTATGTACAGGTTCACTGTCCCTTTAAGTGTATTACACAGGTAGAATGTCTTTCCCTTTAAATCTCCTTTGCAGGTGTGCTGTCCCTTTGGTGTCCTGTACAGGTGTACTGTTTTTCTTTGATAATATTTTATGAGTCATTAGAGAAGCTAGGCCCTGACTGACTGCTATTTATGTACATCAAGAAAAGGTTAACAGTAATTTGTGGATATCATGCTCCATCTGCACAATAAGCTTCTTAAATGTGTAATAGAGAACTTGAACTCTGACCCAAATAGCATTTATCATTTTATGGTGTTTGGCAAAATTATGGGGGAGCTATGCAAGATTTTTCCAGTATTCAGACGTTTAAAGTTAAGTACTTTATTGGAGAGTACCTTTTTATGTTTTTTGAATATAGTTTAATTTGGCTTCTAAAAGATTACTTAATCAATGAAGTATCAATGTAAAGTTTTCCATTGTTAAGGCCAAAATTTATTGTTGCTTAACAATACAAGAGAAGATTTGTAACACCAGATGGTGCACACCATTGGATGACATCAGTTGAAGATGATTTGAACAGATTTGGTTGGTTCAGTCAGCAAAGGTGATCACCTTTGCTGACCATCATCAGAAAAGGTGAACAAAACTGAGGCGTATGAAAAATACAATTTGTTTTAACGGAGGAATGTT